TGCTGTCTTTTATTGCACAGACATACATTAGGAAAAGAGTTTTGAAATTTCAACCCCTAAGAGGGTGATATAGGATGTTACAATTTGTATACTATTAATATATATTATACTAGCTGTTCCTCGCGACTTCACCCGCGTGTTATTTAGGGTTTTAATTTTTTTGCACGGAACCCTAATTCTTTTTCTAAAATAAAAGTAGCCTAAGTTACTCCTTGTGATGTCAGCTATCTGCCAGCGAAAATTCCGTCAAATTCGGTCCAGCCGTTTCGGAGATTAGGCGGAACAAACAGACAGACAGACAAATACTTTAGAAATTGTATTTTTGTTATTAGTACCGTATATACTTTCATATGCATTTAGTAAAAAGATGTAATTTTGACATTACAAACAGACACTTCAATTTTATTTATTTGTATAGATATCTATAGGTACTATTACTTTATTTTACGGGGCTATTAACTTGAAACTCATTGAAAATACTCTGTAAATTAAATAATTGATTGCCAACTCTGCGATTTTTCAAAGTAAATTTGAAGTAAACATAAGGGAGGCCAGAGGTTGTTCAAACTTCTATTATAAATATCATATCATGCCTAAGAAAACAACATACTTGAATGATGAAAGTTACGATACGATAAATAAATTTAAAACGAGTTCTTTAAATGTTCCAGATTATATCGTAAAAAATAATAACCAATATACAGAGTGCCAACGAAAATATGTATCTTTATTGCAAGTGTCATGTAGTGGCGGTGTAAGAATACGTACGTGGTAGAGCCATGCTGCAGCTCTATTAATAGTATAGTTGTAGCACGAATGGTTCGGCTCGATCGCGGAAGGACCACGTTCTCACAGAATACCAGAGTAAAATGGCAGCTTAATGCTGCTGTGTTTCGTATGGTGAGAGTAGAGAACTGGAGACCCTTTTTACTGGAAAAGAGTCGATCTATCTAACTCCTCACGGCTGACAACGCATCTGCATTTTAATTCGCATACGAAGATATATGTAGATGTCTATACGCCGCAGCAACCACTTACCATCAGGTGGACTGTGTGCTCGTTTGTCATCCTTATTCTATAAAAAAATCCACTACTCCATATCATCCCGTGGGTGTCTTAAGAGGCGACAGAGGGAAACAAATCAGGAGATGGGCAGCAGCTTCTTACTAATAACGACTAAAAAAAGGGCAGGTTGGCAAGCGTCGACACTATGGCAAATATCCCCCTTTGAATCAATATAAGGGCAGACCTGTGTTCAGCAGTAGACTTTAATAACCTGTAATAGATGTATATATAGATATCTACCAGGAGCACATGACCCATTGAGGGGTGAAATTTTCAAATCAACAGTAACATTACAATTACGGCAAATATCCCCCCTATGAGGCAATCTATGGGGAGGCCTGTGTTCAGCAGTGGACATTAATGGGCTGTACCGATTATTGCAAGATAAATTTTTGTATATTAACTGGGAAGAATATGTAGCATAGAAGAAAGAAAGCGCTATCCATAAGCGCTTTCTCAAAGAATTGCCATAAGCGATGTTTTTCTCAGCCGTGTATTGGTGACGTTAGAGAATCTACTACAGGGGTGAGTGTGGATAGAGGGAAACTGAAACTGGTGATGCAGCTCCATATCAAAATAATAAATCTGCGCTTGCCAACCCGCCTGCCAAGCGTGGCAACTATGGCAAATATCTTCCTTATGAGGCGATCTATGGGGGAGGTCTATGTTCAGCAATAGACTTTTAATATTTTATTTTTATTTATTTATTTTATAAGAGGGTGACAAACGAGCACACAGCCACCTGATGGTAAGTGGTTACTGTGACCCATAGACATCTACATCTATCCTTAATAAAAATTAAAATGCAAATGCGTTGTCACCCGTGAGGACTAAGATGGAATGTCTCTTTTCCAGTAAAAAGGGTCTCCGCTTCTCTACATTCACCACACGAAACACAGCAGTGTTAAGCTCCTATCTTACGCTGGTATTCTGTGAGAGCGTGATCCTTCCCCGGTCGAGCCGACTCATTCGTGATACAACTATACTACTAATATAGCTACAGCATGGCAGCAAGTAAAAAAATTGTCTTTTTTAATTGAATTATGATGACAAACAAACTCACTACACCAGCCAAGTAGATGCTGTGGCCCATACATACTATCTATCCTTAACTAAGCATAACACTCAAATATTTTAAAAAATCTTGTATCTTCATATTGGACGATTAATGACCCCAATTATATCGTGATACCATCAGGTGGGCTGAGTACTGGCCAGTCTTAGTCGAATAAAAAAAAGTTCTAATTAATTTTGGAAGTTTAATTTTATCTGTTACATAAATATTTTCTCTTAAATCTCGGTGTAATAACCATTAGTGCGAAGGACTTAGGTATATGTTCATTAATCACAGGTGCTAAAGCATTTCGCCGCTTAGGTCAAGGAATGAGAGGCAGCGGGAGCGTTAGCGGGTAATTGCGCGGGCGTGGATTGCGTGGGTGCCTTAGTGATGTGAACAACTGCTATATATATTTGTACGTTAATAACACTGCTAATTTTTATTCCAAATTCTATCAATTGAAAGTTGAAAATATGTTATATTTATTAAGGTGATTAAAAATAAATTGAATCTACTACAAGTATTAATAAAAAATGAAATAAACTACAACTACTAATTATTACTTGTGACGAAGGATAGGGATTGGATCTTCCCGTTCGCCTCCTTATAAATTTCCAAAATTGAAATCGGGTCTCTCTTATTGCAGGGAAAATTTATCTTAATCGTTATCCTTGGCAATTGGATTAGCAATCGCAGTTTAGAAGTACACACTACAATTGCAAAGTGCACATACATCGAAGCCTAAATCGCGCTATTAAAGTTCCGTAGAAAAAGCAGTATATATAGAATAGCTCCGGACTACCGCTCGTAGCGTTGGCCGCTCCCCAGGCAGAACACCTTGCCCGGCGGGAGATCTCCCCTTTTCTTTCAACGGCTACGAACTCATTCTCTCCGAATCTAAAGAGTTCTTCGTTTTTTTAATAGCAGATTTTGACATTTAAAGCAATATTTAATATGCCCAAATTCAATAAGGAAGATTTTCTAAAAATAAAATTAAAAATATATGGCTTAATTTATAAACAAATAGGAAATTCGTGATTGCAGTCACGTATTCGATACAAAGCCGAATTTAACACCGAAATGCTTAAACGATTAGCTGGTAATGTGGTGAGAGCTATGAGTAGAACGGCAACATTAAAAAACACAAAAGCTTATTGTACCATATAATATTAATTATGAACATATTTATTGAGTTATTTGGCGAAACGAAACGCTATTTGCTATTCAGTACGCGCTAAGTATTAATAGCGAAACGCTACGGCACTAGCGCGCGGTTTGTTTACGGAGGAGCGCAGTCCGGCGCGCCGAGCCGCCGCTCGCGCAGCACCCTATATTCAGTTCACGGCCGCTCTATTACCGGGCGGCTATTTCGGCGCGACTGGGCAGGTGCGCGCGCGACGGCATGCGCGCCTGACGGCCATGGAGCGCCGCCGCCGCCCCAGCGAGCCCATGGCGAAGGCGGTCCGCCGCCGGGAGAAGCCGCGCGAGCGCTGGCTCCTCACCCGCAAGACATGGAAGTACATGTCCGACGCCGGCCGCCGGCTAGTCCCCGACGGTGCGCAGAACCGAATCGAGGACGTCCCGCGCATCGAGGCCTACTTCCAGGAAGTGTGCTCCCGGGAGCCGCGCTTCCTGCTGTGGCGGAAGAGTTCGTACCCGAGCGCATTGCCGCGTCCGCGGCGGAAGAAACGCGCGCGCGGCGGTTCGGTTCGAGCGCGCTCGCCGTCGGATGAGGCGCCCCCACGTCCCACCGAACTGTTCATCGGTCACACTTCAGGCGGTCGTTTCGATCTCGCTAAGCTGCGGCGAGATTTCTTCACGGCGCCTCCGCCACCGCCTGCCACTACAGCGTTCTCTCTCCCAGGCAAAGCGCCTGCTGATAATGACGAGAGCGTTTTAGTTGATTTGCTGCGAAAGTACCTGAAAGTAGAAGACGATAAGACGGCACCGAAAGCCTCGAACGCCGACGAATTAGTGTTAGCGATTAGGAAGTATCTGAAGCGGCAGACTGAGCGTAGTCCCGTCGACGCCGACTCAGATCCCGCTCGAAGAGCTCTCCTTGAAAGTCTAGGGAAGTATTATTCTAGAACGTCGAACAGAGACAATGTTGTGCAGGACTTGTTGGGCGATAAAAGTCTGTTGAAAAAACTTTATCAAGATTTGCGTAAAGCTAAACCGTATCGTGGTGCCAGGAGCGGCGGCACAAGTGGTGCCGGCGGCTTCGGTCCCGGTGGTTATAACAGCGTCGCCAACGCTAGAAGTGGTCTTCGTAATCGAACCTTTGGAGGAGTACGCATTTATGATGGCGAAGATAGCGGCTTCCGTTCGCCACCAATGTCACCGCCGCCACTCATTGAAGTTATTTCCGAATCTTTGGAGGACAAGTTTTGCGATCGTGGCACACAAACTCCCCCCATCGCAGATGAAGTGTTATGCGAGCTGGAAAGAGCATATCGTGAAAAGTTGGAAGCGGCTACGGTACCAACGAGCCCCACGAGCCCACCACCCGAACGCAAGCCGGCCCGCCGTCGCTCTAGCGTCGACCATGACGACGTATCGCAATCAGTCAGCGACACCATCAAACGGTACTTGAGGATGGCACGTAAGAAAAGCGTGGACTCAGAAAAAGTAGACCGCTTCAAGCGGATCAACTACGACAAGAACCTACGAAATATCAAGCCCCGAGTACCTGGTGATGTGGACGATGACGGCCCTCATAAGGGCTGTCAGACAGAAGAAGCATGGATTCTCACGTACAGAGATTTGCAATTTGCATCAGTGGTTTCGACGCCAACGTCCCCACCGTCACCGTCGCAGTCGCACTCGTTCTTGTCAACCATTCTCGGTCGCAGTATGACAACAATGGCTCCTCCTGCAGGTGGCATGCAGAAGTCACGGTCGTCGAGTAGCGTGGTGCAAAGTGTCAGCAAGCGGCTGTGGCGGACACGGAGCCGGTCGTCCAGCCGAGTCTCCGCCACGTGGACGCCTCAGGTCAGTCGCACTAAAATCTTTATAATAATGCTTTTACTATATGATGCATTCAAAACAACAGTTGTTCTTTTGTTGTTTTTTATAGTAGTACAGGTAACAAACGAGCACACATTCCACCCAATGGTAAATAGATACCTACTATGTCTACGGTTTCGTGAAAATTTTAAGTATCAGTTTTGGATAAAACACTCTGTGACTACAAAAAGGTTTATAGTTTATGTACGTATGTACGTAAAGTATAATAAATAAATTAGAGTTATACCACGCCAAGCTAAAATCTAACCATTTTCAGTTCTCGATTTGTTGATAAGATCGAGAAGATATTTCACTTTTCTGCAACCGTTCGCTTAAAACTGAGAAAAATCTACTCGTATAAGTTATTCACTACAATAAGACAACGAACGTTCTAATTAAAGGCTCGTACTAAACAGTTCGCTAGTTGGCGACTAGCAAAAACACAATGAAAAGTCTCAAACACCATGCATGGACCTTTGATTGTTTACAAAGACATGAACATACATACATAGTTATGCAACCACAAGACCATAGGGTTGTTAGAGTTTGTAGAGTCTGTATAAGCATTAGGCAGTATCAGTAGACACCTATTACATTAGAGCCTTTAGTATTAGAGCACCCATGGTCAAGAGGTCAGTCAGTCCCCCCCCCCCCACCTCATGATTATAAGCACCCATGGTCAAGAGGACGGTCAGTCTCACCCCCACCCCATTATTACATGTAATTAGTTAATATAAGCTATAAAGTCCGTCCATTCGTAAAGTCCGTAAAAAAGTTTCAATTAAATGTGTAGTGTTCGTGTAAACTTAAGAAATCGTTACCTAAAAGTACGAGTATCGTGGCTTAAGAATGAAAATACAGATGCGTTATCATCCCTGAAGACTAAGAAGGTCTCGACATCTGTACAAAGGGTTTTAGATTGTCGTCACACACCATACAAAACACAGTATTAGCATTATGTTCATATTTTCATGATGGTACTCTATGCTAACGTGGTTTCTTCCTCGGTTCACATTCGTGGTGCAACCATTATACGCTACAGCGTGGTTTTACCACGTACAATGTAATGATGTTTACTATAACATGTTGTATTTTCATAATATGTAATTTATTACTATTAATCATTGAATGAGAGCCGTGTTAGCTAAGCGCTCGCTTTAAATTTCAAAGTACGCGAGCAATCCGGGTTCGTTCCCTGCCGGCACCAATTAAATTGTTAATTGCAATTTTAAGTGTTGCTCTACCACGTGTTCGGTGGTGTATGTCTGAGAAATAAAAAAAAATATTTGGAAGACATGTGGCGATCGCCAACACGCATTGAGGCAGCGCGCGGACTTTCTTTGCCCTAAAACCCTCTTGGAAATGAGAGGAGGCCTGTGCCTAGCAGTGGGACGTATATAGGCTGTTACTTTAACTTTAACTTAAATTTTAACTTTAATCATTGAATCAACTGATTACTATGACTTAACAAACAATTTCAATCATACGGCCTATCAAAGTGCATTAATGAACATATGCCTCTCTAGTCCAGTAGTACTGTTACTGAATAGCAGTTCATCACAGTTTATTATTATTTGGAGTGGACATGTTTCAATCGTGAATGATTTTTTTATAGGATAGGGTGACAAAAGAGCACACAGTCCACCTGTTGGTAAGGGGTTGCTGTGGCCCATATACATCTACATCTATCTTCGTTTGCGAATCAAAATGCAGATGTGTTGTCAGCCGTGAGGATTAAGATGGAATGCCTCTTTTCCAGTAAAGAGGGTCTCCGGTTCTCTACACTCATCATACGAAACACAGCAGTGTTAAGCTGCTATTTTACGCTGGTATTCTGTGAGAGCGTGGTCCTTCCCCGGTCGAGCCGACCCATTCTTGCAACAACTATACTACTAATATAGCTGCAGCATGGCTCTACCACGTTATAAATGATGATGACGAATGATGATGATTCGTTCATTCGCCCCGGGTCGCATCAAAATATTGATGATTGCAATTACATCATTTGAAAGTTCTTAATCAAACGATTAACAGGACCTACGACCAAAGAGCGACGACCGACATTATCGATCGGGTTTCACAGATCACAGAGTAATGAAACTCATCACTACAGCCTTTCATAAGTCCACTGCTGAACATAGCCCTCCCCCAAGGAATGCTACAAAGCACGGTCCTGAGCCACCTGCATCCATCGACTTCCTGCATGTCTTACCAGGTCGTCACTCCATCTCGTGAAACTCAAAATGATCCATTTGTATGATCAACCCGAATGGCCCGGTTCGTAAGAAACAGAAACAGAAACTTATTTATTCAATATAGATCATAAATAACTCTAATTCAAAGTTACTATTTCATTTAATTACCACTGGTTCGAAAAAAACCTCTGTCCTGGGAAGAACCAGCAAGAAACCCAGCGGGACTTTTTTTTTAAATAACAGCTTACACTGATGTACGTTACACAATTAACAACACAACTAATTAGCAATAGCTTAGTAGCGATCACCTCATTCCCAGGGGTTATTATCATCTATAAATTTCTTAATATTATAGTAACCCTTTTTATACAAACTTAGTTTAATAAAGTTTTTGAACTTTGAGCAGGTCAAATTTTGTGTATTTATAATAGTACTTGCAGTTTTATCTAGTGACACATTATGCAAGTACTTGCATAATGGGTAATAGTACTTGCATAATGGGTAATAGTACTTGCATAATGGGTCATTAGAATTGAATGAATGTCACATGTCTAATTTGGAATTTTTGTAAAGAAGCTGATGCTGCCCATCTTCTGTTGCAGTTTCCCTCTGTCGCCTTTTACCACAACCACTTGGTAGTAGATTCTCATAAGCTGCCACCGCACGGCAACATAAAATTATGAAATTAAAATAAACGTTTCATATTTCTTACGTGGTAGAGCCATGCTGCAGCTATATTACTGGTATAGTTGTAGCACGAATGGGTCGGCTCGACCGGGGGAGGACCACGCTCTCACAGAATATCAGCGTAAAATAGCATCATAACGCTGCTGTGTTTCGTAAGTCCCGCTGGGTTTCTTGCTGGTTCTTCCCAGGACAGAGGTTTTTTTTCGAACCAGTGGTAAAGTAAAAAATGACTTTCAATAAGAATTACATATGTGATCTATATTGAATAAAAAATTATTCTATTCTATTCTATTCTATGGTGAGTGTAGAGAACCGGAGACCCTTTTTTTACTGGAAACGAGGCATTCCATCTTAGTCCTCACGGGTGACAACGCATCTGCATTTTGATTCGTAATTGAGGGTAGATATAGATGTCTATGGGCCACAGCAACCACTTACCACCAGGTGGACTGTGTGCTCGTTTGTCAACCTAATTCTATAAAAATAATATTTGTTTGTTTATATTTTTGCAACAAAGCAATATTTTCTTGTCCTGGATTTATTGTAAAAGTGACTTATATTATATTTACGAATATTGTCATCATTATTGCAGCATCATCATTGTTGTATCCTATCAAAATCTACTCGTTAACATAGGGTTCCCCAATAGATTGCTTCACAGTTGTCATTTTTGGCAGTCGGGTTGGTCACCGCAGCTTTTTACTATTTGGATTTGTTAACAGGAAGATTCTGCTGCCCATATCCCTTTTCATTTACATCTGTCGCCTCTTACGGCACCCGCTGCATGATATGGCGAATATTTTATCAGTTCACACATATTTAGTAAGTGTAATGAAAGAAAAGTAAAGTGAAAACTTCTTTAGAATATTTGTGATTTGAAACTCGACGAAACTGAAAAGCGATACTAAAAAGGGACAAACATAATCTAGAGAATGAGATAGAATACAGTATACAGTGTTTCCTATTATCTCGCGATCCTTATCTAAAGGTTTCACTTCCACCACATGTGAACTGCACACATGTTTGTTTTTTATTTATTTTTTATTGCATTCTTTAAAACAAAAAAATACAAAGGGCGGACTGATAAAATGCCTCAAGGCATTATTAACCTTGAGGCATTTTATCAGTCAACCCGTGTGTGTGAGAAATTAACCTTAATATGTTTAATTTAAGGATTATATTTCTCGATTACCGACCATGACATCATAGGATCAAATTCCGGGTCGGGCCAAAATTAGTTATTGGACTTTTCTGTCAATAAATTATTAATAGCAGCCCGGAATCAGGAAGTTCGCGGTGTTTCACACCCGTACCTCGAAAAGCACATTGAGCCGTAGGTCTTACGCCTGGTCTTTTCCGATGTCCCATCGGACTATGAGTGTAAGAGAATAGAGAGTGCACCTGTGCTTGCGCATACACTCGTGCACTATAATCCTGTCCTGCGTCGATGGCTAGTATCCGTTGAGACTGGCCGCTGTGAGGGAAATTCGGCCTTAAGCACATTAATATTACAAAAAAAAAAAGATATTTTCCTTTCTAAACCAATTTCTGTTAACAATTCTTCAATTCAATAGCCGATTGAGTTTGCATTGAAACTGATTTACAGTAATACCATCATTATTTAATCTGTGTTAATACCTACATAAAATATAATAATGATTGCTTAAATAAAATTAATTATGACTAATGTACTGTGGTAAAGCATTTTCAACGTCTAGAAATTTTCAGATCAATGAATTTTGTTTTCGATTCAATTCGATTGAAATATAGACATTATGTGTATATTTTTCTCCAACATCTCAGACAAAACACGGAGAAATATTAAAACGTTGTCAATCACTATTATTGGCATAGACTAAACATTTTACTTTATGAAAAACTGATTAAAAGGTAGAAATCTCAATCAATTTGACGATTAAACAAACACTCCCACCTTCATGCACTTATTATTGAGTTTCGCGTTCCAAAACTATTCAAACTAAGTTATAATGGCATCAATCATCTCGCAATGTTCTCTATTTGTTTTCATTTCTGAACATTGTTAAATCGAAAGTTAAATGTGATTTTTTTTTTTCAATTCAATTAAATTTTATTTGTTGCCAG